AGTACAAAGGTTGGTGTTCACTCTCTTCATACTGTACTGTACTTTGTTTCATATTTTTGTGGTAAATTTTTTTTTTACATATGTTCAGAACGGATAAACCTCATTTACATTGAACCTTATGGGAAAATTTGATTCTGTTCGCGACCAAAATCGGTTCACGACCACGTTCGTAGGTGTCAGAATGGATTAACTTTATTTACATTGAACCTTATGGGGAAATTTGATTCGGTTCGCGACCAGAATCGTGGAATGAATTAAGTTTGTGAACCGAGGTACCACTGTAATGCTAGCGTTCTACATTAGGCTTCTCTGTCATGCATGACACCTGACTTTCATGTTGGTGACAAACACTAAAGTTATTTGACAGGTAGTATTTTTAAACCACTGAGGCTAAACAGCAAGTGGTCACAATTTTTAAAATATCACCAGCTATTACCAAAGTTCCTTGGAATATCCTCAATTAGACTTCTAGATAGTTAAATCTTGCCTGCTTCATTGTTTTTTTCCCTGCTTAGGAACTTTGACTCAAATTATACTGTGATGCAATCTGAAACACAATTTAATATGCGATTAAATCTAATTGTTGATGGATCATTTTCAAAATGTATCTATTCTAGAAAAACTGCAACCTTATTTGGTAGTCACCGAGTGCACACTTTGAAATGTTTATCAAAACCACACGCTAAAAAAGAAAGCTTGCAGAATTCATTGTATTTCATGGAAATACTATTCTCCTAGTATGACACATACACAATGTATACATAGACAACTGGGACACAGTGCCACAACTGATGAATCTGGACGGGTTGCATGTGTCATAGGGCACCCTGCACCTGGGGGGGTCACTTAATTTAAAGCAAGTGCACAGGGGGCGTGGCTTGCCGATAGACCTGTGTAGACGCGTCTACTGAGAGCTCCCGCAGCCGACCCGCTAATTACCTTCCCCGAACCGATTTACATCACTGAAGTGACACCTGATGGGCCGCAACACTCCCCGCAGAACCGGCACGAGACCGACGACCTCGGGCTCTGCCGCCACACAGAGGATTCCGCCGTTCTTTCAGCGGCCGCCGTTCTTGCAGCAGGAATCCAAGATGGCCGCCGGACCCCCTCGTGGAGCTCTGTCCTCATCAACATGTGTCCCCACCATCAGCCCACACATCCTCCCCCAGGGATCCCGCCGGGTCAGATATAGATGAGGACATGGACGGGGATATGCTTCCCCCGGCTCTCAAGGGCTGCCTCCAGCAATTACCCACTAAAAGCGACATTGAGGCCCTCTTTGCCAGACTGGAATCCGCTCATAAGGCAGACATGAAAGAGATCCGCGAGGGCCTGCAGTCCTTCCACTCCCGCCTAGACGTGGTGGAATCCACCCTCCCGTCCATTACATCTGCTGTGGAGGAGCTCCGCTCAGTGGTCGTTGCCCAGCATTCCCATATTGCTGACCTATATACCCACCTTGATGACCTGGAGGATCGTAGCCGCCGCAATAACATCAGGATCCGCGGCCTGCCCGAGGCTACGGGTGACCCCGACCTCCTAGCCTCCGTCATGGGGATCTTTAATACTATCCTCAACAGACCAGTGACTGACCACATTGAAATCGATAGAGTTCATCGCACTCCAGGATTTCGTAGGCCCAACAACCCACAACCCCGGGACGTACTCTGCAGGGTACATTTCTTTGGCCTGAAATCCGAAATCCTGATTAAGGCTCAATCCGCCAGATTCCTGGATTTCGATGGCGCCCAAATATCTCTGTTCCCGGATCTTTCCAGGCGCACCATAGCCAAGCGTAGGGCCCTACGCCCCTTGACCAAAATCCTGCAAGACGCCAACATATCCTACCGGTGGGGATACCCTTTTAGTCTTTCGGCTAAACACAATGGACGTTTCCACACCCTCCGATCACTCTCAGATGTGGTCAATGGCCGGACCCGGGCCTTCATCTTCACCTATTCTCCCCACCCACTCTGGAGTGGGAGACGGTCGCCCCGAGGCGACCGCAGACCCACACCTTCTTTCTCTCCTACCTGATTCCCCACAGGTGACTACACTCCTTCACTGGTTCTCCTATTCGACCAGATAAAGCCATGCTCAGGATCATAGTCTACCCTTTTATTCTAGCTCCCGTCGGCAGACTTTCCGGCTGAGACCTGCTGTTCCTATGTTCGAGCCGTCCTTTAACCTGGATCATCCCTCCACCTGCCTCGGCTTCCAACGAGACTACACGCAGGGTGTCACCCACTGGACTCCTCGATGATCTACTTACCCTCTGAAGATGGACTCAGGTACTTTTTTTTTACCTCACTTTTTTCCTCTTTTGGGATTTGTTTTTTCTTTTACCAGCCACTTTACTGGATGATCCCTGAAGTCCCTACCATCGGACTGGTGAATGCCACGGATCATTCCTCCACAGATCCCGGCCCCCTCCGGGTCTGCTCCCCCGGGTGGCACCACCCCTGGACTCCGTGATGACCCACAGTCCCTTCTCCATTGGACACAGGTTTTCCCTTTAAAGCAAGTGCACAGACCTGGAAACTCAAGACCAGGAATCTCACTAACAGAGTCTGCAGGGGATAGTTGGCCATTGGTTCAACTTTTTTCTGGTCTAAACTGAAATTAGATTGATTGCTGTTGTTTTTTCCACTTTTCTTTCAGTTAGAGAGAGTGATTCTACCTGGTGGTTACGATAAAACAACTTAACAGGGGTTCTAATACATGTTGTCCAAACTAAAAACAGATTTGTTTGACTATACTTACATTTGTACAGTGCTACATTTTCTTCTTACCTCCATTTTCAAAGAAGGACTCCAGGAATTTTAAAAACATATTCATTGCAAAGGGGCTACCCCTGCACTGCAAGGCTTAAGTGCTTGTTCTGTCTAGGGGGCTCAAATAAAACAGATATACTCACCTGATCCTTGGTCCTGCAGTGATAGACACTCACTTCCTCTCACCCTCCACTCCAGCTGGGGAATGTCCCTTTCGTGTCCTAACGTCTAATGTATGTCAATCCACCTGCGTTAGACGTGCTGACATCAGCAGTCCTTAGAAAGCCAGAGAGTAGAAGCTGCGGGGACTGGTTTAGAAGCCCAATGCGACTGAGGATTTGGTGAGTAAATCAGCTTTATTTGGGTCCCCTAGATACAATGAGCGCTTAACCCTTGCAGTATAGGGGTAGCCCCACTGAAAGAGTAAGTTTTTAAAATTGCTGGAGTTCTTCTTTAAACTCCATTGAATTAGAAATTGCCCTGCTTGTTGCATCTAACGTTGGCCACACAGTGCTCCAAATGTGGCCAAGTCAGCAGAACGCATCCTAAATTTGAGCTGTGTGTGACCCTGCCGGCTGCATTTCGTACAAAAATCGACACTTTTTCAATCAACATCTGGGCCGAAAACTATTGGCTGAACAGTGACTGCAGCCAGTCAGGCTGTCAGAATACAATAGCAGGGAAGATTCTGCCAACACAATGCTTATCATAAAGTATAACCAGCTTTAGATGTACTTTTCAGCAAAACATGCGTTACGTAAGGGGTTCAGTGGCAAAGCAAGTAAATGCTGATACAATGTGCATGTGCACACACAAATAATGCACCTAGAATGTGGAGATATAAAGGAGGCTTTAGACAGATCAGACCCCTACTGCAGCCTCTCACCTTGCTACAAGGTGACTTGATGTGCTGAAGTTACAATGTTGAAGTCTGAACACTGGGGAAGAGGAAACTAAGGGAAATGATGATGATTATATTATTCTCCCAGGTTGCTCCTCTATGATTTTTTCACAGTCATTTGCTTGCGGAAAAAACATTGTTTCTTAATTGTAAAAGGACCAATTCTTATGCAATACTATAGGGTTTGAATACAGTATATGGTAAGACGTCAGGAATTTCTTCACACGGCCGCCAGATCCACTTTACTGGCTCTCCTGATTGAATCTGTGATTGCTGTATGACTAAATTATGTTTCCAGGGATATAAACTGACATAACATTGTTACCATTTGGTATATAGTTGTAGTAACTATGATGACACACTCAGGAGGGTATGCTCCGCTGATTACTGGGAATTATATTTAATCTTACTTAGTCTCACTTGATAAAGAACCCGAGAATGGTCCAAAAAACTTGTCGTTATATTGTTAGCACCACAAAAACCTTTCATATCACCATGCGTGGCAACATTACGGAACCTGTCTGGTCCCTTCATCAGGCAAACAAAAGTCATGAACTGTTAGAAGGAATAAAATAATTTGAAGAAAACCTGGAGTGCTGGTGACGATTTATTCTGTTTTGCAAGTATTTGGCGGCGTCATCCGCGGCAACTTCAGCAGCCCCCACAATATATGGGGCTTCTCAGTCAGGAGTGTGGTGGGACTCTCTATTTGTTCCGGCTTTGTGGGTACAGGACACCAAAAGTAAGGCAGGGGACATGATACACATTGGTTTCATCACCAGGTGCTTCCCAATTAAATGGCATGGATAAGTACAGGCACATGGTCCTTTAGCTCCCAAGGTGCACCCCTGTCCATGAGCATTAAACTACTTCAGTGGCATAGTTTGCAGGTGCTGCTCTTTTTGCACCCCCCCCTTGCTAAAGTGCCCAAGGCAGCTACCTTTTCAGCCAACCCTAACAGCCAAAGCAGCTTAGCAGCTAGGCCCGAGCACTGCCACATAACTATAGGAGTAATGTTACTGCTCTCCCTGGTTGCCGACACTGCTGACTCTAGAGCCGGTTGCGAGCGAGGAAAGAGAGGTGGGGGAATGCAGGCAGTGTAGTTATTGAGAAGTTTCGGGGAGGGGGGGCACTTTGCTCCGCATTGGCATGGAGACAGTGTCTCTTTAACTAAAATATCACATAAAATCAAGCTTTAAAAAGAAGAATTAAGGACACATCCATACATTTATTAAATGCATGTCTCATTATTTAATCCAGGAAGTTGGGAATTAGGGTCAGAATATTTAAAGGAATTATAAGATTATGACATAGTACACTACCTGTCTGAGGCTCCTGTCTTTCATGAGAACCCCAATCTGGAGCTCGATTAAATTGATGAAGAAGCTCTTCGAGAAATAATCCAGAGCATAGGCAGCTGCCAGGTAAGGGATCAATCTCCATTGCTACAATTAAAAATGCAAATACAGTATGCATTAAACAGATATACACAATTACATTATTCATTGTCATTGACTGTTCAAGATAAAATTGCACACTACCAGGACCCACCTTAATCATCTCCCTGACTGAATGGGCATAACAGAATGGTGTACAGGAAATATATTACAAAGTATGGCCACCCTTGTAGGTTTTAAATACTGTTACTCACTTTAATTAAGTACCCCCTCCAGACTTAACCACCTCAACAAGGACATCTCTATTAAAAGGATCAGTGGTTCTGCTTTGAGGCAATCATGGATTGCTATACTTGTTTAACCTGTTACAAAACTAAAGCCTAGCAATCCTGAAAGCATAGTCCTGCCATAGCTGATCTAAGAGGAACAATGCAGTTTTAGTCCAGAGAGCTGTAGTGGACCAGCTCTTGTCCCTAGTTAAATTGTGGCACCAGATATCTGGCCTCTCATTTTTGTTTCTGAGTTTCATGTTCAGAATATCAAAGCACAGCTATGGATGGAAGGGTGTCCAGCACATGGGGACTTGAGGAGACATCCACAGATCTTTTTATTGCCCTATCCAGCTATGAAAGCCAGTTTGCCCTTGATCAGTTTAAGGAATTGAAGAAGTAGGCAAGAAGTTCAGTATCTTCAAATTTAAGAGCATGGTCTTATTTCAGAAAGGTGTGCCCCCTCCAGTTGCATGGTGTAAGTGGTTAGATACTTTGGGATCCTCTGCAGGAATCATAGACATGGAGCCAATGTACTAGTACATGACAAGGAAGCTAGTTAATTCAGGTTTCAAGACCCTATTCTTACAATCTAAGTTGGAGCCAACACTGGAACCATAAAGAAGTGAAATAAAACATAAGGTAAAGTAATATACAGGACCCAATCTATCCATCTAGGTTTTTTTAAATTACACATTGGCTTGAGCACCTCTGAGTTCCACCAATAAAAACCTTATTGTTTTCAATATCCTGGAGTTCTGGGAGCGCCTAATTGCAAGTAAAAACAAAAACAAAAGGACATTGCCTTCTCTGCATGAAGCACGCTTTTTTATTAGATAGATAAAATTGTTAAAACATTACTCACAAACCAGGGTAGATCAGAAGCATTTCAGACATAATCTCCACTTGCAACAAGCTCATCATGCCGAGTAGAAGCAGCACTTTATTAAATACCTAAAAAGAAATCCCAGCCCATGCTGGACCTGCCACCTGATGTGTTTCTGGGGCATACCCCCTCTTCATCAGAGTTCATATTGACAGCCACCTAATGGAGTATATAAGTGATCCTTTAAGTAATCAGCTTTACTATAACTACAATTATGAATGAACAGGAGGTGATGTAGATCTCTTCCCATTCATTCATAATTGAGGATACAGTAACCATACCATATCCTCAATTAGTTTGCTCTCGCTCTTCTCTCTGACATGCTGTCACAGGAGGCTGAGCGAGCAGTGCACGAAGGAGAGCCCAGCCGCTCTGCCTAACTGTGATAGGCGGCTGAGCGGTGTGGGAGGAGAGACACAGGCCACTCACGGCGGTCTCCTCCCGCAGCACTTGGCCGCCTGTCACTTTCTCTCCTCCCCGCTGGGACACAGAGCAGCGTCCAGCAAGTACAGTAATCAAGCAGTCATTGTGAATACATCTCTATGACTGCTTGATAATCTAATTCATGTTTGGCTATTATTAGGCTGCTCTGAACTTAGGAACAGCCAATAATAACCTCAATGACACTGAGCCTAACAGCACATCAGGCTCAGTGTCACTAAAGGCTGAATGATCAGAAGCCTGCAACATTGTTTCAGAATAGAAACATGCAGCTTTCTATTCTGAAACATTGAGAAAAAAGCTTGTACACATGGGGATTTCATAATCCCAATCTGTACCAGCTGTCAAATAGTGACAGCAAGTGCAGTAAATACTGCACTGCTATCCTTGACAGGGATCGGGTGTCTGAAAAAGTTTAACTTTTTCATTAACGGATGCTTCAATAATGAGGCATCCAATATTGAATGGTAACTGCTGTTTCTCATTGGTTACCAGCAATTTACAGTCCCAAATAGCTGCTCACGTACAGTGTATGTGAGCAGTCATTTTCGCACTTAGCGGCGGGGAGGAACAGTGTACATTTCCCGTCACTAAGGGGTTAATAAACTACTAGTCCCATAAATCTACCATATAATGGAGATGAACAGAGTCAAAAAATGTCTGATGTCCAGTCTGTGTGACAAAAAAGAAAAACGATTGCAGCCAATACATCATAGGACTGATAAGTTGCAATATATTATATTTTTGTTTTTGGGTTTAGATACGCTTTAAAATTTCCAGTCTCATTATATATACCCCTGATAATTTAAATAATTGCCTAAGCCTGTACAGAAATACACATCCTTTTGTCAGGTAATACAGCCTGCTTACATTTCATTCGTCTGTGTATTTAGTTGTTTGCCTTAAGTTTAGCTTTAAAGTGTATTTATACCATCAAAGTCAAATCATAGCAGTGGGACTGAAAAGTTCTACTTGGCTCTCCCTTGCTATAATGGATATGAGTGAGGAGATGAAAAATCATACTGGAACTACCTTCATGAGACAAATGCAGTTTTGCCTGTACACCCATGAGATTGCATATGTTGTTTTTCAGACTTCCACTAGGTAAAACACGGCTGTTATGATTGTTTTTAACAGTTTTTAAGGTAGCACATACAGTTCTCTTGCTTTTATAATAGAATCTTGCAGCTGGATATTTACCTGTAACTGATACTCAAGTACTGGTATTTCTTCATTTTCTGTTGGTCCAAACTGGCGTCTGGTTGCAGAGAATCTGATAGCGATGGACACGGCAAGTTTTAGATTCACCACTGTCATTCCAATTATTGAGACCCTGCCACTGGAAAGGGTACCGAGAGATGCTCCAAGACGCTGCTTTGGATCCTAAAGGAAGATACACAACAAACAGATGTATTGTGGATAACGTGAACCTGACCAAACACATTTCTAAGGTAACAAGAGAGCCAATGTATAGTCATCCTAAGGGCTCTGTATTAACATGTGTTAGTCTGCAAATCAGTCCCAGCGAAACCCTCCTGAATTCTAGATGCAGGTTGTACATAGTAGATTGAATTCTTCCTAATTCAAGATTAAAGTGCACCTGTGTCCAGATTACTGACATTAAAGTGTTCATATGTTCTTAACAAGAACCAAACAAGCTGTAAAACAAGCCAGCCCTGACCTCTCTAGTTGCATGTAGTGTGAAGTAATTTATCCACATGGTCACAGCAAAGACTTGAGTTAGGTTTCAGTCTGCTTCTAACAGCTTAGATACACCCGCTGACTGTTTACATTACAAGAATCTGCTCTTTATAGATAACAGCTGAGATTCCTGTGCTGCTGTTGTGAACTTTTTATATGAATTTCTCCACAATGCCTCCAGCTACAGAGGGTTTGTTTTGAATGGCTTTTCCTGCCTGTTCCAAACAAGTCTGGGCACAGGTTTACTTTAAAGAGGGGTATATTGCAAAGTTTTGTCATATGATGACATTGAAAAAATCTATTATTATTATTGTTAATTATTATTATCATTATTATTATTATAATGCAGGCTTTATATAGCGCCAACAGTTTGTGCAGAGCTTTACAACATATAGAGAGGCAGTACAATTTTAATACAATATCATACAGAAGGATTAGAGGGCCCTGCTTGTGAGAGCTTACAATCTACAAGGAGGGGCAAGTGATACAGAAGGCAATAACTGTGAGGGATGAGCTGATTGAAGGCGTGAATGTACAGTTTTTAAGAGCAGGTGGGATACGTTTCCCTGAAGAGTTTTTGGGGATCGCCTAAAGGCAGACAGAGATGGAGATAGCCAAATAGGTTGTGGTAGGGCGTTCCAGAGGTTGGGAGAATCTCTGGAAAAGTCCTGGATGCGAACATGGGAGAAGGTGATGTGGGAGGGACTTAGACAGCAGGAGACCTTGGGAAGAGCAGAGAGGATGCTTTGGGTGATATTTTGAAATGAGGTTGAAGATGTAGCTGGGGGCAGAGTTGCAGATGGCTTTGTATGTTGTTGTTAGTATTTAGAATTGTATGCGTTGTGGTATTGGAAGCCAGTGGAGAGACTGTCAGAGAGGGGTAGTGACCACTGAGTGGTTGGTGAGGTGGACGAGTTTGGAAGCAGCATCCATGATAGATTGAAGGGGGAATAGCCTGTGTAGAGCTAGACCAACAGGAAGAGAGTTACAGTAGCTTTGTGGTGTTATTTTGTTAAGAAGAGACGAATCTTGGAAATGTTATGATGGCAAAATTTGGTCAGAGATTGGATGTGGGAGCCGGAGGAGAGATCAGAGTCCAGATTTACAAATAATAACAGGATGGAGAATGGATGAAGACCTATAACAATGTAGAACTTTTACCTTATATCTACTCGTGTAGGTTCCACTGGATGTAATGTCTCCGGTACTATTTAGAAGGTTTTCCTGTGGGATCCGAACATTGTAAAACATTGCAAACCTGCAGAAAATACATGGATTGCACATCATTTCCACCACAGAACAAAACATTACTATTACACGATCTCATTAAAGGATAGGGAAATAATTAGCCTAAAAATAAACAAAAAAGTCCTAAATCCAGGATGGATAAAATGTTTTAAATATTCACGTGTGGACAAGAAGCCAAATCCCATTGACACACTATAGTTCTTAAGCTACACTGAAAACATGCTTGGTTCTTTGTGATGAGACTAGCAGGCATGTCACTATGTAAATTGTAGCAGGACACATAATCTGCTGGGTTGCTTTCATTATAGCGGCAGATTTGCTGAATAGTGGACCATTTTGTGTAAATACTGGCTGCAATGTATTATATATCACCCACTAAATTCCTCACCATGGCCGGTATACACAAGAGTAAGGCAAAGGCTTTCTCCAGCAATGCAAATATTATTTTATAAGTGTAAAAGAAATCAAACTGACAAGTGTGTGTGTAATGTTATATAAAAGAATATCTTGGCATCGCTTCTTATTTCCCGGCACTCACTTCGAGTAAAAGCTGTCTGTTTGTATTATTTTGGCATCCACGTGTTTCAAAGTTTGCAGAATATTTACTCCAATGGTAAATATTTATGCGGCCACCAGAGCGAATTCATCTATGGATACATTACTTCTAACCACCCGAGCAGAGAGCTTTTGTATTAGGAAGCTGATAGCTGAAATTCCCATAAACAGAGCAGAGTGAAGTTAACTCTCCGGTAAGTCATGTGATTTGTCTAACTCGTGCTCACTTTTGGAAGATAAACTGTCAGATTAGGCGCAGCCTAAAAAAAGTTTTTGCTATAAATAGTAGCTAAAGGAGCAAGAGGGAAAAACAAGAGTAAATGGGTGATTGTACCGGTTTTTAGGTAAGTTCTGGGGTTTGTAAAGTGTTAAAGCTGAACTCTGGCCTTCCCTTCAGACTTGCACAGTTATAGCGGCCCTCTACTGGATGGAAATTGGATACTCTAAAGCGCTGCGCAAACTGTTGGCGCTATATAAATCCAGTATAATAATAATACTCTGATGTCATTGCACACTGTGAGCTTCTCACAGTATGCATTTGAAACATCAGCAAGTCAGACAGAGCCCGCCTCATTTCCTGGCTGGAAGACGTCCTTCACCATCTAGCACTTTCCTCAGCAACATTACTGTCCCTGGCTCACCCTCACCTTTTATTTTGTTAGGTTGGGGGCAAGCCTTGCTTTACTGCCATATAACATAGCCACCTACCTATCCCATCTATAAATAGCCATACATGGGATGGGTATGGAGGCAAGCCTTGATTTACCACCATATAGCATAGTCACCAACCTATTCTATCTATACATAGCCACACATGGGATGGGTAAGGGGGCAAGCCTTGATTTACTACCATATAGCATAGACACCTACCTATCCCATCTATACATAGCCATACATGGGATGGGTATGCGGGCAAGCCTTGATTTACCACCATATAGCATAGTCACCTACCTATCCTATCTATAAATAGCCATACATGGGATAGGTATGGGGGCAAGCCTTGATTTACCACCATATAGCATAGTCATCTACATATTCAATCAATACATAGCCACACATGGGATGGGTATGGTGGCAAGCCTTGATTTACTACCATATAGCATAGTCACCCACCTATCCTATCTATACATAGCCATACATGAGATGGGTATGGAGGCAAGCCTTGATTTACCACCATATAGCATAGTCACCTACATATTCTATCTATACATAGCCACACATGGGATGGGTATGGGGGCAAGCCTTGATTTACCACCATATAGTGTAGTCACCTACCTATTCTATCTATACATAGCCACACATGGGATGGGTATGGGGGCAAGCCTTGATTTACCACCATATAGCATAGTCACCTACATATTCTATCTATACATAGCCACACATGGGATGGGTATGCGGGCAAGCCTTGATTTACCACCATATAGCATAGTCACCTACCTATCCTATCTATACATAGCCATACATGGGATGGGTATGGGGGCAAGCCTTGATTTACCACCATATAGCGTAGTTACATACCTATCCTATCTATACATAGCCATACATGGGATGGGGTTGGGGGAAGGCTTTGTTTACCACCATATAGCATAGTCACCTACCTATCCTATCTATACATAGCCATACATGGGATGGGGTTGGGGGAAGGCTTTGTTTACCACCATATAGCATAGTCACCTACCTATCCTATCTATACATAGCCATACATGGGATGGGGTTGGGGGAAGGCTTGGTTTACCGCCATATAGCGGAGTCACCTACCACTGCCAATGTCCCTCCAGTTGTAGAATGGACAACATACATATCTATTTTGTGATCAATTTGATATAGGATAGTATATCCTTTATAACATTTAGGTAATTAAAGTCTCTGTCAGTTGATAAGACTATTATAGTCTAAGGAAATTCAAATGATTATCAATTTTAGATCTATTGGCTTGAATTCAGTGGCATCTGGTCCTATACAGCTTGTTGTATTTCCTGCCGTCTCCCATGGGATATAGATATACTCTTGCACTCTTGGTACCACATGTGAGTGATCAATTTCTTTATATACATTATATGTTTGTAGCAATATTTTTTATGTAAATATTATTGTTGTAAAATCTTCAGATGTTTAGAAGCAGATTTTTGGGAGTTTTGGGAAATGTGTCAAAAACTACCATACGCCTCCTATTGACCATCAGTGTATTCTGAAAGGTTAGGGGTAGATGTATGTATGTTATACTCTGTAATGTTATGTTTTACCATGCTGTAATATTTCCATGGGAGTATATATATGTATATTAACATTCCAATATCCCACTGCACTCCTTACCAGTCTGCCCCTTGTAGATGGGTGCTGAAGTGGCTGCGGATGGTGCCGCTCAAAATCTGAACAGAAAGGGTATGTCAGCAGCACCCCAGAACGAATTTCTGCTCAATCGACTGAAATTTGCTCTGTTTGTACCCAGCTTTACAGTTCAGATGTCACCAAAGACAGTCTAAGAGGAAGTGTGGTCATGACCAGGAACAAAGACTCAAACCTCTGCAATGTGCCTGGCAGTTACAGACATTATGGACTGCACTGGCTCCATAAATAATTGTATATGTTCTAGAATTTTATTGGTCATTTAAATACAAAGCGTGATTAATGGAAACTCCACACGAGTAAAAATGTTTAAAATGTGGAAAATGGCTCATTCCACGCTCACTGTTTATCATTCCAGGAACATTTATTTTTTCTTGATCTTCCCGTATAGGAGATTCAAGAGTTTCAAAAGCAGAACTATGCAGTTCAGGCTCTCACTGGCTGTGTGAAGGGTTTACGACCCAGTCAAATACGTTCTAATAAAAATAAATGAAATACGCTCTATGGCGTGACCCGTAATACCTGCTCCAACTGTAAAGAGACAGTAAACAAATAGAAGTCAGACTGGAAATAGATTTGAGCTGTATGAAAATGACAAGTAAAATAGAATCACAGAAAAGATGCTTCTAAATAAAGATGAGCAAAGTCATTTCAGCTAAATTGATTTTGCTGCAAAGCTTCCGATTTCACTGGAAACTTTTTCTAAATAAACTGCTTATGTGACATGTGTTTGACATAATACATCTATTTTTCTTGTATTTATAGTGTTGGTGTATTTAGGGTAGTTTAGTTTATTTAATTTACTGTTCTTTTTTGCTTCTTTTGTGTATTTTACTGTTTGTATATTGTTACTTCAGATGTTTATTTTTTTCTCTTTTTGTTTTTGTTTTTAATAAGGCTAATGAGGGGCCAATTTTTGCCATAAGAACAGGTCCAGGATAAGAATATATATTTATTTAATAGGAGACTTTCATTTATTTTTTTTTACTTTTTTTTTTTACACTTTATTGCTATAACATTGCTAACAAGCTTTGCCTGCAGGACTAATTCAAAATCTGATATTGAAATGTGAATTCAAGTTTTGAAAATTATAGTTTTCAAATCCCCAAATTATGGTAGAAATTGGGACATTTTAGCAAAATTTCTCTATTTTTGCAAAATGTGTTGCAGTCAAAAGTAGAAGGTGAAAGGTGAAGATTGTTTTTTTGTTTTTTTTCTTTTCAAAGAGTTTTATTGGTTTTTTAACATTTATACAAAAGCATGTAGCAAAGGTACATAAATGTCTAATTTAGTACAAAGCAACATTAAACATTATAATAAAGAAAGACAGAAATGGGTCAGTTGTTGTGACAGTTGACCTCATAGTGGTCTAGCATAATAATAAAACACCAATGGATGTCATCTAGGTAGACACATTGAGTTAAAAAGAGCATGAGGTCAAGTAAAAAAGAAGGGAAAAGAGAAGGAGAAAAAAGAAAACTGTGAATAGGAAGAGGAAAGGGAAGCGTAAGGGGTTTGGGAGGAGCGCACAATTTCAGATTGTGAATAAAGAGCCAAAATAGTTCAATGAGAGTCTGGAAAGGGACAGCGTTACAGGGTAAGTAAGTGTCGATGTGAAGATTGTGTTTAAGATTTTAGTAGGATTTAAATTGCTTCTGAGGGCTATGAAAGCTCCCTTATAATAAAAACACCCAAAATGTTTTAAGTCCCCCGCACATATAAATGTAGATACGCGTCTGGCATGCCTACGTGTGAAAACAGCAATTACGCCACACATGTTACATATTGCCATGAACGTCGGAGTGCGGACAATAATTCTATGGTGATCAATCGCTGATAATTCTAAGGTGATTAAACTGATAAGCTGTAAAAGTTTTTCAAGCGTCACCTATGACCAATTTTAGGCATGGTAGTTTTTTGCGATTTCGTGTGCGCGCAATTTTCAAGCTTGACATGTTTGGTGTCTATTTACCTGACGTCACCCCGCCTTTTATAATTTACCAAGAAGTTGGGTACTGATAACTGTTTTATAACATAACGTATTTTCTAAATTTTCTGTACTTTTTTCATTATATAGTAAAAAATAGAAACCCCCAGTGGTGATTAAAT